ATGGCAGGATGTCCAGCCCAATATTTTGCTGCAAGCTCTCTTGCTTCTCGACACACAACTGAAAGTAACACCAAACGACAATGGATTGCGCTTGTTACTGGTACAGCTATACCTCCTTTTTGGCTGCGCCTCTTACGCACACACGCTCTGGGTTCCCCTTGACGTCAAGCGGACGATTCAAGACGCTCTCAGCCCGCTGTTCTTTGATAGGATATCCAGCATCTCGCCAGGGTTGTTCCAGGGAATTCGTCCTCTGATGGAGCCGCTGCGTGCCTACTACAGCCAGAGTCTGCGAGATCCTAGCCCGGTGAGAATTTGGGATGCATTTTCATCTGGTAGCTACACCAGTATTCTTGGCATGGCCGAGTATGATAAGAAGTTGCGCACCAGCTGCACGCTTGTGATGACACTGGTAGAGGAGAGGCGGGCCACGAGGCTGTTTGGCGGCAAGCTTGATGTTGATATCGATGATCACATCCTTGCTAGTGAGTTTACTTTCAACCTCAGATTTGCTGGCCCATTTACTGACAGTTCTCAAGCCGATATCCTGGAGGACACCACTCTCGTCCACGAAACCGACTACGGCTCCTTTCCCAACCTAGAGAGTGCCAACGGGCCACCGATACAAGAGTACATCCGCCTCGGCCCAGGCCCTTCTGTACGTCACCATCCCAATACCTGTGACCTCTTCAAAAACTGACCATATCCAGAACGAGCGCTCCCACCTCTCCTTCCTCGCGGAGCAATACCTCGACCTCCTCACCTACACCCCACCAAAGGACTACAAACCCTCCAAGCCCGCCGAAGCCGCCGCCCGCGACAAGGCCTACGCCCTCGAAACCCTCACCCGCATCCACACCTCCCTCACCGACTTCCTCCACAAGCCCGCCACCCCCAAACTCCTCACCCCGGCCGAGACAAACTACCACACGGCCCTCTCCCTCCTCTCGGCGCTGGTCCTCACGGCCCTCTCCCTCCCCAAGTCGGAGGCCTCCGTCCCCAAGCTCGTCTCCCAAACGACGCAATCCCTCAAGACGACGCTCACGACCCTCCGCACGGGGCTGCTGTCCCCCAGGTCTGCCGTCCCCGTCACCACCCAGCAGGCGGTCTCGTCGCTTTGCGACATGCACTCGTTTGCTTCGGTGCGGGATATCGCCGTTGCGGTCAAGCTGTCTGCCGCGTTTGTGCTCTCCCACCACGAGAAGGAGACGGCAAGAGACAAGTCTGGCAAGTCGGGTCTGCACAGGGAGGTGGTTGCCGAGATGAAGGCGCTGGAGTCGGCGGCGAGTAAGACGCTGGCGGATGCGAAGGGTCATGTGGGGGTGCTGAAGGGGGTGATGAATGAGAGCGGGTGGTTGGACAGGTTGCTGGATGTTGTTTTGGGGGAGGAGGACAAGCAGTTGGATCAGCTGACCGAGAAGGTGAGCGAGGTGGTGGATGGGAGGGGAGGGGCGGAGGAGTGGGCTGGGAAGGTGGTGGATAGCTGGAGGGAGGGGGTGAAGGGGTGGGGGTTGGTTAGGTTTGAGTGATGATGGTGACAAAAGTGTATACAAAAAAACGGTTCGCTAGGGAGTCTGATTCGCAAAAAAAAATGATTCCAACATGCCTTTCTTGATCCAAATGCCGCTATGCAAACAGAAAATAAAACACAGACGAACTAAAATAAAATAGGTATCATATGCCAAAACACATCCAGCGAGGAAAGAAAAGCCACCCATTATCCATCACAATCCCCCTTTAACGTCGACCCCCCTTAAGATATATATACCAATCCCCCACATTGTTTAATAACTCTGACTCCCCCTCCTCTTGGCCCTCTCCCTCTGCGCCCTAGCCAGCACCCCCTGCTGCTCCTCCCCGAGCGTGACCCACGTCCAGAACCAGGCCATCGTCTCCACAAACATGAAGGTGAAGAAAACCCTATTCTTCAGGGCGTCGCCCCCCCATCCGGAAGGTGTATAGTTCGGGTTGTTGTGCAAGGCGTGGTGGACGGTTGGGTGGGAGAACCGGCTGGCGGCGTTCTCGTCGTGGTAGAAGAGGGGGGAGGAGGGGGAGAAGAAGAAGGAGTAGATTGCTAGCATGAAGGTGATGAAGACTCTGAGGGGGGCTAAACGAAAAAAGGCAGTTTGTTAGTGATGGGGGGAAAGGGGAGGGGGGGGGGGAGGAGGAGGAAAGGTACCTTGAGTTCCCCAGTGAGTGACGAGGCAGATTTCTTCTGGGTAGGAGAGGGTGACGAGGTCGGAGATTCCGAGGTAGCCGAGGATGATGCCTAGGAAGGCGAGGGCGGGGGAGGGGGTGTCGAAGGAGCGGGAGGAGGGGAGGCCCATCGAGTCGCCTAGGAGGCTGACGATGGATTGGTCGGATATGGCGGTTGGGTTGGTGATGAAGAGGAAGGCGAGGGTGAGGTGGAAGAGGGAGAGGGAGGTGATGATTGTTTTGGCGGATATTAGGGCCATGGTTGCGGTTTGGGGTGAGCTGGTTGGATGTGGGTGTGGTGTGATGTTGTGTTTAGTAGAAGGCCAGCTTCAAGTTGTATATATATGGATGGTGGTTTGAGGACTTGCGCGATGGGCGCCTCGTGGTTTTGCTGTTTGATAAATATATATGTATTTGTCGCCAGCTGGTCGTCAAAGAGCGTCGGGTTCACGGGTTCAGCTCCCTCGGGGGTCTGTGTCTGTGTCGTGTGAGACACTGGGGGTGTCGTGTGGTTTGCTGGACTCGACCTTCCTGTCGGTTCTGTCGTGGTCCAAAGGGGCACATTTACAAGCCTTATCGGCAGCTATCCCTCTGATAAGCGAGGGTCTTTGATTGGATTGACTCTCCCGTTAAACTGGGGCGCGGGTGTGTCAGCCACAATTACATATGCTTAAACTTCTAGTGTGGCTTGGGAGGTCCGGGACTTGGCACTGCAACCCCCTTTGGGCAAGAGGACAGGGATCCTAGCTGTGTGTTGAGATGGCGGGGTCCATGTTGCTGTCGCTCACTGCCTTTCATGAACTGAAGCCCATTGAATGGGACATCCGTGGACTTTTATCTCAAGAATTCACTGCTTTTGTGAGATCACCTGGCAGTGCCCAAGAACACTCGTTATCCAACCAAATTCCCAGAGAAACACGACCTTCACCCGCGACTTGCACCACCTCATCTACAACCACAACCATGGCAGCCGACACAGACACTCCCGCCAACCCCCCTAGCCCGGAACCGGTGCTCGACATCGACCGGCACCTAAAATACTGGAAGATGTGCCTGCAGTCCCCCCTGCCCCACCATTACCTCTCCAACGAAGGGAACCGCATGGCCCTGGCCTACTTCATCATCAACTCCATTGTCATTCTCACACCTAATACTAATACCAACACCGAAACCCCCATGATCACTCCGCAGGACCGGAGAAAGCTTCGACAATGGGTCCTCTCACATCAGCACCCAGGCGGTGGCTTCTCACCAGCCTCGTCGCTTGTCTATCCGCTTCAGGGTTATGAGCAGTCGGAGCCAGAGACAGGATCTCAAGCTACAGAACCAGCGGGGATGGCCAATGCGCCAGGGACTCTATTTGCGCTGCAGCTGCTGGCGCTGTTGGCCGATGAGGATGACCCAGAGGGAGCGTTTGATGGGGTTGACCGGGTGCAGACGCTCCGCTGGTTACGGAGGCTGCAGAGGGATGACGGGAGCTTTGGGGAGGTGCTGAGGTTGTTGCCGGGTCAGGAGTGGTTTATCGGCGGAGGGTACGACATGCGGTATTGCTATATCGCTGCGTCGATACGGTGGATGTTGAGGGGGGACGTCAAGGAGGGCGAGCCGGGTTGGGTGGAGGATATTGACACAGAGGGGTTGACCAACTATATCCTCAGCAGCCAGGTATGTGTTTTGTTTCTCAGACAACTGGGGAGTTACAAGTCTAACCCAGTGTGGCGGGCAGACATACGACGGCGGATTTGCAGGCAGCTCACAAGAAGAGCCACATGGTACCTCCCCCCTTTCCCTCCCATCATGACCTCCCACTAACCCCTAATTCAGCCGGCTACGCCTACTGCGCCATATCCGCCCTCTCCCTCCTCGACCGCCCCTTAGAAACCACCACCCACCCACCCCCTCCCTCCCCATTACTCTCCCGCATCCGCGACCTCCCCGCCCTCATCCACTGGCTCACCTCCCGCCAATTCATCTACCTCGACCCATCCTCCCCCGTCCCATCACCCGACACAGAAGAAGAAGACCCAGTCAACTTCCTCCTCCCCTCTCTCACCTCCCTCTCCCTCTCCCCACCCAACCCAATCCTCATAGCCTCCAACGGCCGCACGAATAAAGTGGCGGATACGTGCTACACCTGGTGGGTGCTCGCCGCGCTGTCCAACCTCTCCCAGCTACCCTTGTTTGGGGATTGGTTACCTGCCCGCAGGTTCTTGCTGGAGAAGATGGCGCACCGGATCGGTGGGTTTAGTAAATACCCTGGGGGCCCGCCAGATGTGTATCACAGCTGTTTTGGGCTGACGGTCATGTCCTTGATGGGGGAGCCGGGGCTGAGGAAGCTGGATGGGGGGTTGGCGGTGCCGGAGGGGACGGTGGAGGTTATTGAGAAGGCGAGGGGGAAACTGCTGAAGAGGGCGAGGGGGGAAGGGAAAGGGAGGGAGGTGGTGGAGTTGGGGGTGAAGATGAGGGGGACGAGGCCGGGGTGGTTGAGGGGGGTTGGGGTTAATCAGTAGTGTGAGGGTTCTACTAATAAGGGTGATGGGGACTCTGGCAAAGTTTAGTTGTGATACCAGACTTTTACTATCCAGACAGTTAATGAATGACCTAGAAATGGGTAACTGTGAGATCATTTTGATGAGTTGCATCAGTTGGGAGTTCTTCTGTTCATTTTTTCTTCATGTCTACCCGGAACACAAATTGCAAGAAATGAAGGATGCAATTTAGATCATGATGAGTGCGAAGAACAAAAAAGGGCATCAAGTCATCCAGGGGTGATTTGCTCAAAAAAGCAAAAGTATGAAGTTTTGTCCCCTCGACCGGAATCGAGCCGGTGACCTTTCGGTATCGATAAATTGCATTTACAGCCGAACGTGATAGCCAACTACACCACAAGGGGATTTGATTTGTTGGCAAAACTCTGGGGGAGAGGGGCTTATGGAGGTGTGGGGTAATTGCGGCATTTAGTTGCGTCACTTGGGGAAGGGGCTGGGTCGTTTGGTACCACTCACGTCGACGTCTCTCTGGCTCTGAAGAAAACCGATGGCTCCAAAGTTTGGATGTTCAAGACAAGAGTAACTATAAATCAACCTCCCGAGGAAAACGGTTCAACACTGTGGTGTTTTGTGCAAATCCAATGGCTGCCTTGGCTATCATCAGTCATAATCATCATCCCTCTTCACAAATCACCCTGCTCCACCACCACCTCCCCCTCACCCAGCACATGCAAAATCAGCTTCTTATACCCCTCCACCGCCTCCTCCAAGTCCTTCACCTTCAACCCTTCATCATCACCATGCGCAACAAGGATACTCCCCGGCCCGTAAAGGTAGCTTGTGTGGTCCCCATCGAGATTCGGAACATCCGTACCGTAACTCGCAACCATCGTCTCGAATCCGTCGACTTCACACTTGCACTGGACAGGCCCATACCCCCCAAACCACTCCGAACTGAGGGCCTCGTCATCTGTCTCCTTCAGAATATCCTTGATCTTGGCAATAACATCCTTGTGTCCTTCCTTCTGGCTCCCCGACGCAACACGAATAGCAAGTCTGGCGCTGGCCGACTTGGGGATCACATTCGCAGCTACGCCACCCTCCAAAACACCGATATTGACCGTGGTGTTGCCGTACCTCTCGCTCGACCCGAGATCAGTGTTGAGGATGGCGTGCAAACTGCGGACGAGAACCTCGTTGGCGGACTTGCCTAGCTGTGGGTAGCCCGAGTGACCGGCCTTTCCCTGAGAGTAGATGACTCCATTGGTGATCCCCTTGTGACCGCAGGCAAGCTTGTTCTCGGTGGGCTCGCCAAAGATGGCAGAGGCGAAGCGGTACAGCTTGTCGTCGCTGCTGCTGCTGCCGCCAAAGAGGGAAAGCTTGATGCTGCTCCTGTGGGAGCGGCGGGAGAACTCCTTCATGCCGATGCCCGAGGTTTCCTCCCCGACCACGAAGAGGAGCATGACATCTGATGGGGAGATGGATTCTGAGGAGAGGAGGGCGGATAAGGCGATGAGCTGCGCTGCAACAGAGGCTTTCGCATCGACGGAGCCGCGGCCGGAGATGAGTGTGTCCGAGGTGATTGGTCCTGATGGGGTGGTTTTGTAAGGAATATATGGTGGGACGACATCGATGTGGGATGTGATGAGGAGCTTGAAGTCAGCACTGCTGGGCTTCTTAGCTGTGGGCCAAGCCAGAACATTGTATCTCGTGGTAGAGCCGCTGTTCAGCCCGGCTGGAATCTGCTGAAGCTCAACCGAGTAGTTTTGCTGTCTGAAATATTTCTGAAGAAAAAGAGCGGCGTCTTCCTCAGTGCCGCTCAGCGAGGGTATATCGACAAGGTTCTTGTGAAGGGCGAGGAGGTCATGGCGGTAGGAGGGGCCGTCTGTGTGCGGCGTAGGGGTCGCATATGCCGCAGGTGAGTACAATGCGCTGCATAGAAGCAGCAGCTGTGAGATCCGCTTCATTTTTGACTTTTGACTAACTTTCTGCAACCCAAAAACCGTTGATGAAAAGATGAAAGATGCAATGTTTTGGTCGTGTTCATAGCGCTGATGAGGTCATCCCTTTCAGTGGGTCCAGCACATGCACAAATCGCCAATGCAGGGGCTGTGGGGCGCTGCATGACTTGTGCGCCAGCATTGACAACAGGTCCGTTTGCACAACATCATCTCATCTTTAATCTTTGAGGAAGTTTGTTTTAACATCTCATTTCGTATTCAGGCGAGTCCTCATAGCTGACGGGCAGCAATAGAGGCCAACCGCTCGGGCAACACTTGGCTAAAGTCAAACTTGCCATCGGCACCCTTCACAACGGTTCCCCTCTCGGTGACAATGGCATCGATCAGCTCATGGGGGGTCACATCGAAAGCTGGGTTCCAGACACCGATTCTCTGATCAGCAATGGCCACCTTCGCGGTCTTGCTAGTGTCGACGGTTCCGTTTTCGTTGACGATGGCACCGCTGATTTGTGTAAGCTCCTCACGCTTGCGCTCCTCGATCTCGATTGCGCTTCCAGTGTCTGTCTCGAGGTCAATGCTGGTTGTTGGCGCGGCCACAACGAACTTTACACCGTGGTGACGAGCCAATACAGCCAACTGATAGGTACCGATCTTGTTGGCAGTATCACCGTTGCGGACGACACGGTCAGCACCGACGATAACGGCGCCAATGTTCATGCGCTCACGGTGGAGGTTGAAGAGGGCACCGGCCATGCTGTCGGTGATGAGAGTGGAGGGGATGCCCTCGAAGACGAGCTCGAAGGAAGTGAGACGACTGCCTTGGTTATAAGGACGAGTCTCGGTGCAGTAAGCGTGCTTGAGGAGACCCTCCGAGTAAAGAGTACGGATGATGCCAAGGGCGGTACCGTGTCCAGAGGTGGCGAGGGAGCCGGTGTTGCAGTGCGTGAGAACAGAGATGGGGCGCTCGGAAGAGGCATTGTACTGCTGTTGCAACCAGGCGGCACCGTGAGAGCCGATGGAGGTGTTGTTGTGAAGGTCCTTGGCGAGAATCTCCTCGGCCGTCTTGATGTAGGTGTTCAAGATAGCCTCCTTGGCCTCGGGGTGAGCCAACCCTTCGAGGTTGGCAGCTCTGGTGGCCAGCTTGAGAAGTGTAATGGCATTGGAGAGATCAACAGCTGTTGGCCTGCTCTCCTTGAGGTAGTCAAGCCTCTTTTCGATATGCGCAATGACCTCCTCGGGCTCAGTGGCAGCTGGTGATGCGTGTTAGTGTTGTCTTGATTAAGGGGCATAGTACAGCCAACTTACTGCAGTCTCCATTGTGCAGCTCAACTGCATGAGCCAAAGCGGCGACAATGGCAATAGCGGGGGCACCTCTCACTCTCATGGAGCGAATGCAGTCAAAAGCCTCTTCGGCAGTTGACACTTCATCATAGTGGTTCTCATGAGGCAGTCTGAGCTGGTCAAGGACTAACAGTTTGCCCCGCGAGTACTTGATAGCTTGAAGGGTGGCCATTTTGTTGATCTGTTTGGGGATATTGCAGAAACAAAATCGATTGTCAAGAGTGATCAGCCGCTCTTGAAGATGTCAAAAATGCCCCTGGAATTTTACACAGGGAAACTGCCTGTTATCAAGCCTGAAATAGAAAATATCTCTCGGGGGTGCAGCAGCCGGGACTTGTCATCAGATGCCCCGCCACTGCGCAAAGCTTTGGTGGGGCAATTTCTCAAAATTCAAGGTGAGGAAGCACGGAATATGACGCTAGTCCCAAAGAAGACCAAGGTGAGCTGCATTGCCAAGAAGCGGTGAGAGCTCCATGGCCATGCATTGACCTGCTACGGAGTAACACCCTGCATCTCAGGGGATTCTGCCAGCGCATGGCCAGGAGCTGTCTTCCAGGTTCCCTTCTAGAAACATAACGCGCTTCGACGAGGGCATGTCCTAGAGTCCCAGAGCTGTTCAGCATGGAACAGCCCTTTTCTTCGTCAAAGGTGACGGGTTAGTGACTGGTTTGGTTGTTTGGAGAGCTCCCAGCTAATCACTAGTCGAGTATACAGTCGAGTACTTCGATCCCCACGATGTCTACAAGCTCCTTGCGCCGGGGCTGATTCCCCGGCTCCCACTCCGCGACCTCAACTGGCAGTCCCACGCCGGGCCATTGCGATCCATCAACACCCTCCATATCGAACTCCTACCATCCGGCGCCGATTATTCCAATATCTTTACCCCACTGTCCTCTCCGAACCCAAAAGGCGCCAGCTCCACCGATGTCGCGAATCAACCGGCCCGCGACGATGGCTTCCAGACAGCGACCATCGCTGGTAGGGGTGGCTCAACCGAGCACGTGGACTCGACACTTCGCCCACCGGCAGGGCCAGGCAAGGAAAGGCGACATCAAATACCCGGGTTGCGCCGCACACCATACCTCAAGGTGCTCCTGATACGATGCGATGATAATGATACATACAAGTCCACCACCAAGGCCGAAATAAAGGAGTGGATAAAAGTCAACACACCCCCAGCGCAGGGCAAGACTGGCGCCGAGAACCACGATGCCTTTGAATGGTTGATCATTCATGTGGTCCTCCCAAACACCGTCGCCGCGACCCAGCCACGAACAACTGGAAAAGTACCCGACTCGAGCGATGTTTCAAAGGCCGCAACATTAAAGTGGCGCGGTGGCTCAACATCGTTGCTGGAGAAGTTACGGACCGACTTCAACGGCTCGGGCAAGGGTGCTGTGGACAGAATCAGACAGATTCGCATTGGCGTCAACGATGTGCCATACAGTATGCTCCCGAGGGTGGTGCCCGCGGTACCTACGGGGTATCGCGAGACCGAGCAAGACAGTGAGGCCGCGTGGGCGGACTTGATTGGGAAGTTCAAGGAGCTCATCCTATCCAGCTTCGACACACGCGTCACACAGTACGAAGAGGACATCAAGGAACGAGACGGCCAGAGGAGTTTACCAGGGTGGAACTTTTGCACCTTTTTCATATTGAAAGAAGGTCTGGCCAGAGGGTTCGAAAGTGTTGGTCTTGTGGAGGATGCCCTGGTTGGGTATGACGAGCTCAGTGTCGGGCTCGATACCATCATCCAAGAACAAGCCGTTGCGGGGTCTGCTGAAGCACACGGAGGTGCTCTGCTTGCGTATACCCCAGATCTCAAAGAAACGGCGCAAAAGGCTCTGAGTGAGATTGCAGGCGGCACTCTCGAGTTTGAGGAAGAGGAGGCTGTTGATCTTCAGTCTGGCGAGAAGCAAAAGCTGGATTACTCCGAAAGCATCCCTATCACCTCATCCAAGAAAACATACCGGGAACTAATCTTGGCCAACAACGTATCATTGTTCGATTTCAGGTGCTACATCTTTGCACGCCAAATCTCGCTCCTACTTCGTCTTGGAAATGCATGGTCACCGCGAGAGGAACTGGTGGCCAAGTTGAAG